CCTAGGATCCAACATGGGTAAGGCAGCATCTGTCAACACGCGAAAGATGGGCCCGAGAGGCCCTAGTGGTGGTGCGGTGCACCAGTGGTGTGGCTCACCCCAACTGGGCCTAAATGGCCCCATCTTCAGTGGGATGCTTCCTTTGGGCCTCTAGGTCGGTCCTACAAAGTTTTGCGCCGTTTGGAGTTGATTTGATATGAGTTTTGGCAATTTTTCTCCACCTCACTGGACCCTAATTTGCCTAGTAAGTGGGCCTTCTCCTCTTGGGCTCATGTTGGGTGATGTTACAACTTATTCTTTGTGTACTTTTGACACATTTCTTGTGTTATCCCAACATGTCCTCCTACAATTGATGAATCATCAAAACTCGTGGAACTTTGTTAGTTATGAGCTCTATTTCTAAGTTTGGTGTTCATTTTGATAGATTTTATATAATATTGACGGTTAAAAGTGTGAGTTAAGAACCACCAACAAGCTCCTCCACACTTAGTCCTTTACTCGTCCTCGAGTAAAGTTCTAAGGACTAAGCTGGTTCATCTCCTCGATTGAAATCTACATACAAGTTATTCCAAACCTCACCAGGGCCTGTGAACATTCTGAGTGTCTACCATAAAATCTTGAGTGATTGGATAATGGAACAGTAAGGATTCAAATCTTTCTACTCTACTTTTGCTTAGAAACTTGGATTTTGTTTGATTTTGAAAATATAAAGTTTAGCTTTGCTCCTCAAAATTATTCATTCGATCGCTCAATGTGTATAGTCCTTACTAAAGGCTTTTGATATTTGCCTTCTTTTCATCCTACCTCTAAAGGCTTTTTGTGTAGTTTTGGGTAGGTAAGAAAGAGAGGCATACTTGCATCACATAATATTGCATTGGGAGCCTAAACTTTATTATTATTATTATTGCATTTATTATTATTATTTGTTTGTTTTTTTTTTTATATTATATTTTATTTTATTTGTTCACCTAACTTTTATCTTTTAGCAACACTCAAGCAAGGCTTATGGTAAAGATGCAATAAATCTTGGCCTTGGTTTATCTCCAACATAATTACTTCCATTGTTTATGACAGTAGTACTTCAAAGTTCATTCAACCAAGATTAAACATCATGTCTAATTTTGATTAAAGAAGGCCATAATGACGAGCACATGTGGGCCATATAAGTTGGGCGGTTCTACCACAGGTACAACTGAAGAAGAGACGATGATTCCCGGCATTCCTTCCGCTAAATGTACAAGTGGCCTGAGTACACTAGTGAAGGTAGCCAACAACTCCGATACTTCTCCACTCTTACTCTCTCACTCCCTACACTAGAACTAGCTAGAAGCTAAGATAAGAGTGTGTGCACTCACACCTAATGGGCCCAAATGGGCCCATCTTTGGTGAGATGCTTCCTTTAGGCCTCTAGGTGGGTCCTGCAAAGTTTTTGCGCCGTTTGGAGTTGATTTGACATGGGTTTTGGCATTTTTTCTCCACCTCACATGGCCCTAATTTGCCTGGTAAGTGGGCCTTCTCTTCTTGGGCTCATGTCGGGTGATGTTACGTCTTGTTCTTTGTGTACTTTTGACACGTTTCTTGTGTTATCCCAACATGTTCTTCTGCAATTGATGAATCACCAAAACTCATGGAACTTTGTTAGTTATTAGCCCTATTTCTAAGTTTGGTGTTCATTTGGATAGATTTTATATAAATGTTGGTGGTTAAAAGTATGAGTTAAGGACCGCCAACAGTGACACATATCCGAACCATCTCCAATGCAACCCTCTGTAGCATGTACATATGGAAAGCATCTTCAACGGAAGCACCCACCAGCGTGACAGCCCCCTATCACGCATGCCAAAACAGTTCTATGACATTCTGTTTTCGTCACAGATCAAGCCACTTCTATGACGATTTGCAAAAATCGTCATAAAAGTTCAAGTATGACGCGACTTCTATGACGAACCGTTTTTCGTCATAAATTCGTCATAAAACTGAAACTATGACAAATTTGGCTCTTTCAGTAACGAAAGCTATTCGTCATAGAAGTGGATATTTCTAGTAGTGATATACTATGGGTTTAGAACTTATTTGAATTAATTGAAATAAGCTTGGACCAAGTGTAACTAAAATCCACAACAAAGATAGGTAGCTCATTATTACTGGTATGAACGGGTCCAGGTGTCGTTGCAAGCACGGACATGTCTGCTAGTGGTAATAAGAGGATTTGTGATGAAAACGAATGGGACCGGTCGGGATAGATCCTCTCCTATTTTCACTTTTACATTTTAATATGGAAACGAAATCGAAATCGGGACGGCCAGAAATGGGAACAAAACGGATTCAACGAAAATCGAAAACGGATCAATTCGAATGGAAACATGTTGATAACAGTCAGGATATAGACAGACAAAATGTGAACGTCGACACATAGAACCAAGAAACATGACTGACCTATCGACCTGACATAGCAACATTGTCAACTTATAAATAATATTAGACCATGTCGTTCGGATGGCTGGGCCTTCTATTACGATCGTGAATTTGTCGTAAGTGATTTTCTCTCACACAAACCACCAAGAAAGATGATTCTTGACAAACTAACCAGCCCATCCAAACGAACAAGCTGAAGATTACAAGATATAAGATGACAAGGCTACTACGATGTGGCATAAATGACTGTGCTGCATTATTGCACTTTCTAAAACAGGATATCTATCCTATGCAGACAAAAGCGGATATCCCGGCAGAAAAAACGGAAAAAGCAAAAACGATCGAAAAATCAGTCACTTTCGTCCTATTTCTAGATTTGCCAAGAACAAAAAATGAAAACAGTCGGAATAATGACCATCAACACGAATTCAAGCGAATTAACCGCAGAATTTGGGACGGAACTGATGAATCAACACGAATTCAAGCCTGGGGCCCGTTCGGCTTACCCCATATTCGACTTGTTTGGCTTCTTTTTTTCAGCCGGAACAATATTTTTCTCTCACAACAATTCAGCCAGAACAGTGTTTTCAGCCAATTTCAGCTAAAATTATGCCAAATTTAACCAAGCCGAATGATATATCTTTCAATTGTTAATCCATTTGTGCAACAGAATCTAAACGTTTACAAACTGTAAATCACTTTTAGGAATCAAAGCTTAACACAGTTTGAGACGAACACTACCTGTATTTCAAAAGTAGGACGTACTATCTCTATATCTACATCTACACAACTAAAAAGCATGAAGCGCTTGTGTCCAACCAGCACCTTTTGCCGCATGCGCCTTGCACCTCCAGTAGTGCCCTGTGCGCGGACAGGACGGACCCAGATGCCCTTTTCTCCCACTCTCATCTCTCCTCACCCTCAGTGCCAATCCCACACCACCGTCGTCGTCATCACGTGCCCTTCCCGCGCCGCCATAGATTGGGCTAGGGGTACAGGGCAAGAGGTGCTGCTAGATCCATCCCTCCTCCACCGGATCTCTCCTCCGTCATGACCGGAGAAACAAGACAAATTTGCAGTTTAACAAGGATTTTGAATTAATTTTTTTTAAAAAAGGTTGATTTTCGGTTTGTTAGATTAGTCCTCCGAGAAGACATGAGGTTGGCTACGATGTGACTATGAGAAAGAGATATAGAGAGGAGAGAGGAATAGAGAGGTGGGCGTCACGTGGTAGAAATGAACAATAGCAAAGGGTTGGGCGTCTGGGTGATAGTTTTATTAGTGCTAGGTTTTTTATGGGTCGGGTGTTTTTAATATAAGTAGGCCTTGTACTCTTATTTCAGAGCCGGATGGCTTAAGACTTCAAGTGAGGTTATTTTTTTACCTCCATAAATAGATCAATCGTATCTCAAAACCGGTTTTTTAAGATAGGCAGTTTTGGTCCGCCTCATAAAATAAAGAGGTTGTCTCTAAAAATTATTTTTTTTAGCAACGGTACTTCACGCTGCATCATAAAAAATGGTTGTTTTGGCTTTAAAAATGGACTGTTTTGGAAGACCGCTAGAGAAGTACGCCATGTGCATACGTTCGTTGACTAGGTGCTCGTGCTATGTGCCTATGTGAGGACAGGACACTGTCCTAGAACTTGCCTAATCCGTGGCGGACGTGCATCGCCGGGTCCCCATAGTGTATGAATCACGTGAAATATGGGTGCAATAGTTTCAATGGATACAACATTCAACACGTAATAGTAAGTGCTAATAATTAGCTTCTTGATTTAAATAGGTCTAACTAATAATTTAGTTAATTATTAGTTGAATAGTCAAATAACAATTGTTTCACTAGTTGGACCAAACTAACTAATTAATAACAACTAATATTAGCGGTGAACTATTAGCTAGCTAACTATTAGCGACTAATTGATCTAAACACGGCCTCATAAAAAAACATACAACAGATATATATATTATTACGTTGAAGAAAGAAAAAAAAAAGCGTTGATTTTGGATATTCATGTGCCTGTATACGGCATTGACGGTTGCAACATATATACATAATACATGGTCTCAATTCATGTTCCTGTTTGTGTCATTGATGGTTGCAATGTACATATGATTCCAATGACTAAAAACTATATTATGTCGCGGAAAAAAAGGCCTGATTGTGGGTAGATATTCTTATGCTTGCTGCATTGCCGATAACATATATGGTCCCAAAAGCTAAATAAAGTACATTTATATGGGGAAGAAAAACGAAGAAAAAGTTAAATTATGGATGTTGAAATTAAGCCCGTGTTTAGTTGCCTGAATTTTGGAATTTGGGCTACTGTAGCACTTTCGTTTTTATTTGACAATTAGTGTTCAATTATAGACTAATTATGCTCAAAACGTTCGTCTCGCAATTTTCAACCAAACTGTGCAATTAGTTTTTTTTCGTCTACATTTAATGCTCCATACACGTATCGTAAGAATCGATATAATGGGTACTGTAGCATTTTTGGGGAATTTAGGTTGGAACTAAACACACGCTAAGTGCTTGTTCCACCTGCTGGTTGTCATGATTTGTCGTGACAGATTAGCTGGACAATGGCCTGGGCTAGCAACCTAGCAGGTATAGGCCATGGCCATCATAGATCACGCCGAACCGCAGGACGAGGTAACACAAGAACTTTCCACCCTCAGGCCTCAACTCCTGCCCTCGTGCCTAGAGTAGTAGCACTAGGGGGAGAAGTAGCTTGTTGGACACGACTTGCTTGGACTCTTTTTTTTTTTTTTGATGAGTTGGACTCCTTTTGTTGCAAGTAAACAATAATCCTGTAACAATAATCTCTTTGGTGCACAAGTAAAGGAGACTGGTGTCGATGGCCCTGGTTTTTGGGTGGACAGACTCTCGCTGCAGGCGTCCGCTGAACTAGATGAAGTGAGGCAACTGGTGAATCAAACACAGCTTACGGATGCAGAGGACGCCAGACCAGACGTGGAGCATTTTGTCTGCCAAATGGAAAGTTTGACTCCGGCGGACTGTACAGATCGATTACTCAGGTCGCGTGATGGAACCCCTGTTCCTGCTGCTGCCTTTGTTTGGGACAGCTGTGCACCAAAGAGAGTTCAGCATTTTACATGGCTCCTCGTTCAAGGAAGGATTCAAAGCCGGAGCAACTTGCTACGCAAGAAGATCGTGGACAATGCTATTTGTGAAGGATTTCTGGTCTGCAATCGGCTTTTCTACTCCCATCCTCTCCCCTGGTAGGCTGGGTGACATCCACAACATTTGTTGCCCATCTTAACCTTCCTCAGAAACATTTAAACACATTTGTTGCCCTTTGCTGTTGGCAGCTTTGGTAGCGTAGAAATGGAGTCATCTTCAGGTCTGAAACAACTAGTCTCCAACAGACGTTTTCAGCATGTATCTATAATCTATCTCTGATGCCAATCTATGGAAGCTTAGGCTACCTAGGAAAGGACAGGAACCTTGCCGATGTATGGGTAGGTGTTTTCAGAGCTGCAATGTAAGAAATTGGTCACTTGAGAATCAAATGATGTAAAATTTTCTGTAAGAAATTGGTTACCTTCAAAATGTTGTTGTTTACATTCACTAACGCGGCCGGAGACCGGCATCCTTGTATGACAAACACTTCATTCTCTGTAAATACAATCATACACAGTACTCGTGCGTATTCGAGAGAAAAAAAGATCAAATGATGTAAAATTTTCTGTAACTCAGTGCCAACGGCACCATTCAATCAATACAAAAATTCAGGTGGGGATCCTTTCCCCACCGGTGACCATAAAAAAAATCCTGTAACAGCATTTCTGGTTCTGAATCTGCCTCCCTTTGGAGTTGTTGCATGCAATGGACAGGATGACCCCTTCTCTCGGGAACCCAACTAATTAGTAATTGACTATAGTCTCTGGCCGGCAGCAAGCTACGCTACTTACTTCTCTCCCTGTGCCAGAGTTCTCACTTCCAGCCTTGAGCAAACAAATGAGTAAAGCTGCTAGCCCTGCGGCAATGGCATGCATGTAGACATGCATGTAGGAACGGCCGTGTGCACAACCCCCAAAGAGTTCTAAACTTGGTTGCTACGGAAACGGGACGTTTCAGATTGGAACCTCGACTCTCTCTTAGCTCTCATGTACAAATACTAGTGGGGTGTCAAACTGTCAATAGTTCTATGGCAATTGATGAATATACATTCCACTAGAGTATATGTTTCAAAACTCCTTAAAATTTCTTATCTAAAAAAACTACTTAAATTTACTGTTAAACCAATAATCATGCAAAGTGAATAAAAATAAACCGCGTGCTAAAACTGGGATGGAGAGGGCTCCTAGACAGATAGCAAGCGCAGAAGCAGCATGCGTATATTTGTGAGTTGAGAAGATGATTTACCAAGTGCTTATCTTTAGATACTTCAGGTATAAAATTATTGGAGGGCTATTTTCTCCTTTTCTAAAAAGACAATTTAGGGAGTTGTCTTAAAGTTAATTTTTAATTTTCTCTCTCTCTTTAATAATGATCTAACAAAACTCAACTCGTGGCAAACTCTTTGCCTCACTTTTGAAAAGAATAAGAAAACGGTCGATCTGTATGTCTGAACAATCAAAGATGAGATGGTATGGAAGAAATAATACAATTGGAATCAAGCATGCATGCCGCATGCCGCCCATCCCATTTGCAATGTTGCGCCGATCAGCCCTGCTAGAATAATGTCAAAGGAATATCGATCCTTTTCTCTTGCATTGGGAACCTGCAGTCCAAACCTGAAGAATTGACTGTCTTCCAGATGGCCTGCCTAATTCGGTTTCAAACGAACAGAAAGTTTCTTTCTTGCATGGTATTGGTACTCCAGTGAGAGGCCTCCTAGTTGTGACTTGTGATGAGCTGCGAGTTTGGCCCTACTGCTCCTAGCACATAGGAGGAGTAGCTTTGTGCTCTTGCAGTCAGCCAGGTACTCTTACGTATAGCTAGCCGTTGTGCAATCCCCAACGATAGATGGGCTTTTCCTTGCATGGAATGAAACAAACACCAGATCTCGTCTACTATATATATGCTTGGCGGCTACGGGAACAAACACAGGATGTCAACATTGCAGTATAAACGTGCGTGCACGATGTTAAATATGGCAACTTCTTCGGCCGGCGGCGGCGGTGTAAAAACGTGTAATTCGCATTAATGGATGGGCTGTCGTCCAGGTCGATCTCAGCTCGCCCAGGTTTTCCAGCCCGAGGCCTTCGATTCCAAGTTTTTCCACTCTCTCTACATCATATTAAATTTTTGAACATATGTATGAAGTATTAAATGTAGATAAAAAAATAACTAATTACACAGTTTAATTATAAATTACGAGACAAATCTTTTAAACCTAGTTAGACTATAATTGAATAATAATTATTAAATACAAACAAAAATGTTATAGTATCGAATACTGATTCTCAACGTCATCTAAACAAGGCCCGAATCGGTGAAGGACGGACGGATGGTCCACCATGGATCTTTCTCACCGGTCACCATATATAATATAGCACATACGACGACCGAGGTTAGCGACGACGAGTTGTTGCTGCGATCCACATCGTTCGGTCCTTTCTGTCTTCCTGAGCAGGTATATGTAGCTACAGCTACACATAGCTGGTCGTTTTTGTTACTACCTCTTACTACTAGTCAACACAGTAGTTAGCGCAAGCGGCAATGGCGTCGTCGCCGTTGTCGGCGCCGGAGGAGGAGCGGAGCCACAGCGACGAGGAGGAGAACGGCGGCGGCGGCGGCGGCGGAGGCGAGGGCCTACCGGAGGACCAGGTGTTCGAGCTCCTCACGCGCGTGCCCCTCGACGACCTCCCCGCGTGCCGCATGGTGTCCACGTGGTGGCGCAGGCTCACGTACGAGCCGGCGTTCGCGCCGCTGCACTGCCGCCGCGCCGCCGCCGTGTCGGGCTACCTCGTCCAGAGCATGGCCCGCAACCGCTACCACGCCGACTTCGTCTCCATGCACGGCTCTCCGGGGGGGCGCCGAAGGCGATCTCGCTCGACTTCCTGCCGTCCGCGCACGTCCGCGTGGAGGCCGTGTCCGCGCACCGCGGCCTCGCGTGCTGCGTCGAGGCCGACACGGCACGGCCACCCTGCTACTACGTGTGCAAGCCGGCCTCGCGGCAGTGGCGGGCGCTGCCGAGCCCGCGGGTAAGGTTCCGCACGGCGGCGGTCGCCATGGTGGCCCGGCCTTCCGCCTCTAGCACCGCGGCGGAGTTCAAGGTCGTCCGGTTCTCTGTCCCGGCGCTGCGGGACCGGCTGCGCTGCGAGGTGTTCGACTCGCGGCGGTTCGCGTGGCGCCGCGCCCCGGACGTGCCGCTGTGCCCGGACTCGCTCTTCCGGCCCGCGGCGCCCGCCGTGCGCGCGCACGGCGCCATGCACTGGCTCCGCTGGCCCGACCGCCTCACGGGCGCGCAGGACGTGTTCGCGTTCGACGTCAGGGCCGAGGCGTGGCGGCTCATCGCGCTGCCGAGGGAGGTGGACGAGATGGACGACCCGTGGGCGCGCAAGCGGATCGCCGCCGTGGAGGGGAGGCTGTGCCTGCTGGTGCTCACGGACGCCGCTGTGGACGAGGAGGTGCTGGAGATGTGGGAGATGGCTAGCTATGGAGAAGGGAGGTGGAGGAAGAAGATGACGGTGAGCTTGAAGAGCCTCCGCGCGAAGGAAGGGCCGGCGGTGATCCTCGGTGACCTCCACTCCTCCGATGTCGCCTTCTTGCACAGCTTCTGCAGAGTCATGTGGTAATCAACTAGTAGCGCTGCATGACGATCGACATTAGTTATTGAATTTGCATTCATAATCCAATAATAATGTGTTTGACTTCGATCGCAGGTATGATTTACGGAAGGGAAAGATGGCTGAAGTCCAAGTGAAGCACGTATGCATACAAGAAATTTTCAAGTACGAATCGGACTTGATTCCCTGCAACATAGGTAGAGCATGCCGGTCGCCAGATCGAAACTGCATGTTCTGATGATGATGATCATGACGACGCCGATGATGGCGATGACGACGTCGACAAATTCAATTAGCCTCTTGATCTTTACTGCTCGATTCTTGATCTGCTTCTATAGCATTCTTTTTTAGAGTAAAAACAAGCATTTTATTCCTATCTACGCTTAACTTAATGCACAATTATTGGTTCTAACCTTCAACTCTTAAAATCAAGACTCGAAAGCAAACTGGGCATAGCTCAGCTGGTTTGGGTTTTTTTGGTAGAACCTGCCCATCCGGGTTTAACAGCGTGTTCGGTGTTCTAACCCCTCACAAAATATTGTTTTAAAATCAAGACTCGTAAAGCGAATTAGCAACGTCGCTTAGCCATCGAGCAGGTTGTAAGTCCCCGACTTTGTGTTGGAACCTACCCTCTTAAAATCAAGACTCCCGACTTGAGCGTAGCTTAGCTGGTTGGATTCTTTGTGATGGAAAAGTCCCCGACTTGACATTGGTGCTCGTATTTTTCTGTATTTATTCCAGGATTTAACGGCGCTATTCTTTTCGTGGTAGTCAACGTGCTCGTCGACAGCGAGGCGCTGTGGTGACTTCGTCAATCTCGAGATTTGTCGGTCCAACTCGGTTCTTCGAAGATGCTCATATGAATGAGTATGCGCTCATGTATATGAGCGTCTGCGTCTGTGGGTCTAAAAAAAAATCAAGACTCGAAAAACAATTAAAAAAATAAGACGGGCAATCTAATCGTTAAAGCCTATTACTAGACGAGAGTCCGTTAAAAAAAAGATGACGCTATCAACGCTCGGCGAAGATCTCAGTTCACTGGACACGCCTGCCACATATCGGTTTTGGAGGATGGTGATCGGTACATGCCTGCAAATAGGATTAATTAATCTATTTTTGTCACAGGCCACGGCAGTAGCTAGTCCAGCGGTGGGTGGGCGGGGCGGCGAGGAGGTGGAGCACCGCCGGCTGTGGTGGTGGAGGCGGCTGTTGGGAGCAGAGCAGGGGCGGGGGAGGCTCACGGACGACTAGTTGACGGAGCCAACGGATTAGCGGAGTGCGGGGTCGAAGGGCGGGGGCGGACGGTGGGGTAGGGCCGCAAGGCGGTGCTTTGCTGACGGCTGTGAGTGGTGGTGCGAGGAGGCGGCGGGAGGAGTTGCATGCTTCACGACCGTGTGCCCCATCACGCGTTAACTGCCTCCATCATTTATACTAAACCACATAGACCAAAAAAATTGCACTCCCTTTCACTCTAATTTGAAATCGTATTTTTTAGTCTACTAGGTGAAGCCAAAATCCTAGAAAACTTGTCATATTACTTGGTGGCACTAAACCAAATGTGGTTTGAAGAACTCTCCAAATAAATCTTGTAAGACAATTAAAAAAATTGGTGTTGGATGGTTTTCTTATTGCAAAAACAATATCTGTCATCTCGATTTTAATTTTTCTTTATGAGATTGTCTTTTGTTAAAATGGCTCCGTAAAAGAAAAAACCTCACAAAGATTTTGATTTTAAGAGGCAATTTAACATCTAAAAAGAGACTTATTGAGAGGCAATACCATTTCCTTTTACTAAATGTTCATACATTGAGTGCACTGTGAAGAACTGAAGATCCCTTGATTAGTAAAAGACCGTTTGACGGAATCTTTTTGGCCATCGTGGTGCACCAATGCAACCTTTCTAACCAATTCATTCCATTTAGGTATTAGTGCCCACTAACATTCTCTAAAAAGTAATATTAAAAGGTGTATGGTTGAGGACATGAGCAAATGAAATGTGCCTTTTCCTTGTCACTTAATATAAGGAAGGTGGTGTTGTCTGAGAGTAAAGTTTCGAAACCACTTATTCTCCCATGACCTGATTTGGGTGCCACTGTGAAGATTAACACTAGAAAGATTCAGAAAGTGATCTTTGACCTTCATAAGGCCTAATAAAAATTGAGTATATATTTAGATCTAAACAAAATATTAGAATGCTTTGTTATTACACGTCTATTTAGTAGAAGAATATGCAACATAAACAATATAAAATACGGGTCTAGAGTTATATATTTATAATAAAGTGTATGCATTAGACTAATACCCATGAAATTACTGAAATTCGCAACAATTTGTCTAAATTTTGAACCTTGGTCGAGGAATACATGTTGCTATAATCACTTCCACCTCTTACAGTAGCTATAACCAAGATACTACTACCACAAGTATATAGAAAGAGAACAATTAATCAAGTACTTTCTACTTTCCTTTGAGCACTTGGGTGATGACTGTCTTGGATGCCAAAGACGCTAGCAAGTACCGGAGCTTATTTGCAGCAACAGCAGCTGTGCTCTCTCTGCTAGCACTGTATAATGGCTGTTTTGGCTACTAAGAAGTTCCAGCGAACAGGCCTGCTATATAATCAGCAGTTTCATAGAGTTCCTTCCTCCTCTGAGCAATTGTTGTTTCCATGAACTCTTTATATTCAGCCATGGAATCAAGAAGCTCCAGCAGATCCTTAGCAGCCGCCTCAGTATCTTCTTCAGCTTTAAGTGTTGCATCTTGGAGCCTCTTCTCTGATATCTATCAAATCAAATTTCGTTTGAATTGTTTTACTCCAATGTGCTAAACTAATAAAGGAATGTATTTTAAGTATTAACAAAACAAAAGGTCGGAAGTACCTTAAAAAAATCAGCTGCCTCCTTTTCAAGAGAAATCAAATTATTCTTCTTTTTCTCCAACTCATCTTTCATTTGTCTAGCTTCAGATGTGAATCTCGAGTCATCATTTATAATTTCACGATCCAGTGAATTCAAACGAGCAACCATCTAGATAACAGATACAAGAGGTTCGACTTTATTATTTTGCAATAAATTATTCTGTAAGAATCCAGATAAGCTTAAGCTGTATGGTAAAAGCCAGGCCAAGCACTTGTGCATATCGATAATTGTTTAGACTCTAGAATCACCATGAAAAGAGAGTGGATAAGAAATTCATGAACACCCAAAAAAGGATGCAAACCGCAATAAGATAATCAATTAAATGCTCCTACATAGGGGGGGGGGGGGGAACCAATTCAAATATTTGACAACTGTTCCAACATTGACTGATCGGCATATTCATTGTTTTATTGCGGCCCTAAATTTGATATTGTCTTCAAGATACTCATCAACTCCACATACATAGAAGTCCTAAATTCAGATGAAGGTTGGAAGGCATCCACTTACTCCCTCCATTCCAAATTACAGTTCACTTCGGCATTGTCTTATATCAAACTTCTCCAACTATGAACGAGTTTTTAGAAAAATATGTTAACATCTACAAATTCAAATAAAGACACAAAGACATTTCATGGAAAATGTAATGAAACAAATTTGATGTTGCAGATGTTGATGCATTTTTCTATAAACTTGGTCAAAGTTAGAGAAATTTGATTTAGTAGTTCTCAAGTCTAATCACAACATACCAGTATAATCAATGACATAAATCCAAAATCGAATTTATTAACAGCACAAATGAATTTTCGTTAATCAAAGGCATTCTTCATGCTTGAAGAGATGGACTTACTTCATCATTTTTTGCCTGGAGACTGGAAATATTATTCCTTTCCTCCTCTAGAACCTTAACATTTCCTTGCAGCTGCTTCCGTATATCATTTAGGTTTTCAAGATTTGAGAGACAGATCCTTTTGTTCTCCTCAGCATGAGCCACAAGTGCAGGTTTTAGTACAGTTTTGTAACCAGTACCTAGCATCTCAGCAGGAGAAGATCCTTTTGAATTTATCATGTACTGAAAAGGAACAGTAGGTTTCAACCTGAAAAGTGGCCCAGAAGTGTAAAAATGAGCACATAATACAAACAGAACTAACAAAAGGAGCTAGTAGAACCAAATACAAACAACAGAACCACAACATTTGTTTGCCTTTCTGTTTAGTAAACACAACAACAGCAAACAGAACATGATGTCAGCTGGCTATTCAAAGGCCCCAAAAGTTTAGTGAAATGTTTTTTTTCCCAAAAAAATCTTGGAAACTAATCGTTGGACTTCACAATTCAATTTATTTGTCTAGCAAAATTATCCTATTACTAATATCCATGTCCAGTCCGCATTATTCAATTTTTTGAGGTCTTAAGGACCAGGCATTAAATATTTTTAAGAAAATATATAATAGAATAACATAGTTTGTACATAAATTACTTTTCACATTGTGCATTGACTTTCTTTACAATGGTTTTGATTTTAAGTTCTTTGTGGTTCTCTGATTTATATACCATTCATGGTGATCAGGAAAAATATCAAAATAGATCAACACCAAAGTCATAAGGCCAAGCTGATTAATCTTTCATGCATTTGATATTTTGTTGATTGCAGATAGATAGTAGCACTGTAAATTTAAACCAATTGAAACTCAAGGATAACTGAAAAATCAAGCATTCAAATGTGTAATAAAACCACTCATGAAATTTAAGATTCATAAATACAAGTGAACGATAACAACCTAACCTACACTAATTTATATGTCATGCAGAACTACAATGAGCACAAATAAAGGGGCATGCCAACAACAAAGTAAGTAAAGATAACAATGTCAAAACAAAAAATCTGAAACAAAAAACAATTAAGAAAATTAATAAATTTTAGAAGCACAACTATATAAGGCCTAAAGGCGCCTAGCACCGAAACAAAACAGGTGAGGTTATCTGAAACACTGAAAAACAATTAAGAAGTTCATGAGTTTTCTCGAACCGGGTGAGAAGGTTCTTCTTCTTATTTTAAATTTTGGGTAGTCTTAACCACAGTTTTTTTTTTTTATATAAGGCCTAAAGATCTATACAGAGCAAAATGATTCTCCCAAAATACAAAGAGTTTTGAGCTAATAAATTTTAACAAGAATCTAGAGCATGGCACTTGACTATAAAAATATTCAAATGAATGATTATATATAGTTGTCTTTATCAGAACAGAAAGGTTTATTTTTTACCAAAAAAAGAAATCAACAATCAATAGGTAAATAAGAATGGTATGGTTAGCCTTGGTTCCTAGGTGTAGCTACAGACAATTTCTATTAGAATGGAGAGAAGTAAAATTAAGAAAGTATAGCAGATGCTGCAGCACGTTCGTACTTTTTGAGGGCCTGGTTGCACTGCTCAGCAAGCGTCTCAAGCTCCTCAAGCTTGGTAACCAGCTTAGCTTCAACTTCCCAGACCTTATCCTCCAGTGCTGCTTTCCCCTTCTCAGCGTTGGCAATATCATCTTCAATCGCCTGCATCTCCCTACGCATTCTATCCATATCCCTCACATTCACCGGCTGAGCATCCACTTGTTTCAATAGATCCTGAACTTCAGCAGCAGCGCGCTGGGTGTCCAACACTTTTGCCTCCAACTCTTTCTCCAAATTCCCCAACACATGTTCCCTTTCGTTGATCTTTGTTTTCCAAGCATCCACCACTGCCTCAAACTTGAGAATATCAGCAATGAAGGCTTCCTTCTCTGACTCCAGTGCTCCCCGCCGCGAGGGACCCGAGATGAGCTTATTCACCTCGGTCTCCAGTTCCTCGGCCTCCTTCTCCAGGGCACCAACTGTTGCAACGGACGCCTCACCAGTCATCCGGGCTTTGGAGGAGTACTCCTCGTCGAGGGCCACGACGGCGTCGTCGTCCCCCAACAAGAAGTGGGAGTAGCCCTGGGTGGTGTAGAGCAAGAGATCGTTGGATGGGTCGCCCGGGGCATCCAGGTCGTCTCCTTGGGCGTAGCAGAGGGTGGTGAGCCAGTGGAGTACGGAGAGCACCACCGGCCACGAGTGCGGGGTGCCGGGGGCCTTGAGTGCGGAGCGGGTGACCTTGTAGGGGCACCCGAGAAGGCGAAGGTCCTGGATGAGGTCATCCTCGAACGTGGCGTCGTTGCGGGGCAAGTGGAGACGGTCGACGAGGAGGCGGAGCGCCGCCTGGATGTTGCGCGCGGCGGGCAGAGGCCCGCGGAGCGTGACGGCGGGGGCGAGGAATCCGTTGACGACGCGGAGCGCGGCGACCTGCGTGGGGCGGTCGGAGAAGTTGGGGGCGGCGCCGACGCCCGCACCGACGGTGGAAGCGGGGCGGCTGCTGCAGAGGCTGGCGGCGTCGGAGTCGCGGCGGGAGAAGGCGGAGTCGAGGTTGCTGATAACGCTGGCGTCCAGCGCTGGGGTGGCCTCGGCCGCGGTGGAGGGCGCCAAGGAGGGCTTGGGGAACCGGCGGCCGCCGCCACGCCGCATGGTGGCCGCGGATCTAGTGAGTTTGGGGGCTGGGTTTTTTCTGTTTGAAACTGGGTTGGGTTTTTTTTTTTGAAAAAAAAAGGAGCGGCGCCGGCGGCAGGGAAAAGGCGAGCCCCGTACGGCGTGCAGCCGTGCGGTGCGGAGCGAGGAGTGTTAGGATTTAGCGGGCTAATCCGCTGCGTCTATTGTTGGGCCGACAGAGCCCAGTAACTTGTTCTCAGCCAGTCTAGCATCCACGCACCGGTGACTTCTGAAAAACCAGCCAACTTGTTACCGTCCAAGTTCTGCTCAAAAAAAAAATGTTACCATCCAACTTTTTCAAAAAGAAAATAAAAAAAAAAACTTGTTACCGTCCAAAGGCCGGGTGTGGAGACTGGGGAGGAGGGTGCGGGCTGCGGGGTGGACAAAATAATTTTGGGCATTTTCCTCAAAAAATAAATTTGGGTATGAAGATGGGGAATGAACGGGTTTGGCCATTTCTGCCCATTGGCACCGTTAGAACCATCACATCAGAGTTTTGCAACAACTCCTAGAGGTGGTTGCCAAGCTTGAAGCGGAAGTTGGAAAGTTATATGAAACTTCGACTCCTGTTGAGATGCAAAAAAACCATTTTCCAAAAAAAAAATCATATACAAATAGAAAAGTAGGTGCATATGTAACGTAAGAGACAAAAATCATGTGAATTTTGTCCTCTAGTGCACATGAACATAAATCATGTTGTTTTTTTATAAATTCTTTAAAGATTGAACTTACCCCTCAACTTTTGATACAAGGTACATCCATCATTTTACTCTTTTTAAACACTTATAAGTATGTGTTTCAATTTGGTTTTTATAATTGCGTCGGAAATTTATCCTAAATAGAAGAATCTTATATTTTGAAATGATCGGGAAAGACAATTTATTTATTATATGTGAGTTTTTTTTGGGAAACATTTATTATATGTGAGTTGAGTTGGGATGTATAGTTACGGGATCTACATAGTTATGGGATCATACGAGTTTATACAGGGGAACTGGGGAAATACACGCTCATTGCTAAATTAGACTTGTGTTATGTTAACTAGATATATGCCCGTGCGTTATGATTTTTTTTTTCATGTCTAATGTGAAGGATTTGATCATTTTTACAAAATAATAAAGAAATGATGAAAAGAATTTATATTGGCCACCTAAACTATTTTCCAATGCACTTAGGCTTTTTGATAATATTCAAAATAATCGACGCCCATGCCAATTCTTTTGTTCTAGAGCGAGAACGGACCTGACAGCAAGTCTCTTCCAGTCCGCACAAGCATACTTATATTCGTGACTTTGGATTTAACAATTTTTAGGCTTTTCAGACCGATTTCTCAACAGATTGTCCATGTGTTGTACATACTCTTAGACTTTCTGGGATTTATATTTCACAAGCAATGACATGGTTACACTCTATGGTCGAAAGGAACTTAACAAAATTTGAATTATAATTTTTGGGTTTAAATTTAATTTTATTTTGATTTTATAAGTTTGAGTCATTTTGTGCATTGTTTAGAAAAAGACAAGAAACTAACAAAACACTTTGTATTGGGAACCTTGAAGTCTATGTAATTTTGAGATCAGCTTTTGCTATTCATTTGTTGTTTATATTTGTTTGTATTTTTTCACCTGAAACCCTCCACTTTTTCGTATTCTTGCATCAGTTCCTTCCTGAATGAAATCACGAATGTTTGCCGTAAAATAAAAAGAAGGATAACGTAGTTTGTTTCGGAAACTGCCTGGACGTGGAAATGGCCTTATGGGGGGGTTTGTTTCAGACAAGGGCCTGGACGGGGGAAACGGCCTGGACGGGATTTGTGAGCGTGGTCGGGCGGGGTTAACGCAGTGCGAGGAAATACACGCTCAATGCTAAATTAGACTTGTGTTATGTTGATTATGTTTTAAGTAAAGAAAAACAAAGGCCAAGTCCAGCTCGATATTTAGGCAAATATCGTCTTTGTTTTTTTTTAGCCCAAAGTTTTACGGGGACGACACCAACCTCTTTTGCCTCATTTGTGTTTCTTTCACGAGCCTTTTATCTGTGTGCCATTATAAAAAAATTTAAATTACATGTGTATCATCGAAAAAATAAAAGGTTGTTCAGTACCCTTGCATGAAATTTTCTTTTCCTACATGCCACTTCCGTCATGTTACCGTCTGATTCTAACAGAGCTGGGTGCCAGTTAAATGTGAAATTACTTTTTTGCCCATCACTCGTTCTAGTCGATCCCCACTGATTCTTCTTTCACTTGTTCGTTCTCCGCTTCAATCTAAGAGCCAAAACCTAGAGGAGAGGAGGAAGCATGCGGGTGGGCATGGAGGAGCAGCAGGGAGCAGGTTGGTGGGCGTGGAGGAGCAGCCGGCGTGCGCGCGGAGGGGAACGAGGGAGGCGCGGCCGCTGCGAGTCACACGCGCGAGGGCCGGGCGTAGCTTCGCGCGGGGGCGGGTGCGGCTTCGTGCGGTGGGCGGGCGCGACTTCGCGCGGGAGTTGGGCGCCGGCCGATTTGGCGCTGGAGCGGGTGCGGTTGAGGCCGCGGGGCCTCGCGCGGGAAGGCCACTGGCCCGCGCGAGGGGAGGGTGCAGGGCCAAGTCCGCGTGGGTCGCCTGAGGCTCCAGTAGGCCGGATTTCTCGCGGATTCAGAAAAGATGGCGGACGGGCGACCAGCTTGGCTTCCAGATGGGTGAGTTCTCCTTCCCTTGCTTCAATTGCATAACATCAGCGCCATGTTTGGTGTGGTTAGGATTGAATTAAACTGTGTAGATATATATGTTATTCATTTGTAGGAATGCCATCGAGACCAGTTTCAATCTAGAAATTAGGATAATTTGTCCAACTATGCGTGGACTATGGTATGGCATTAACAAAGTTGTTGATTCAGACATCATAATTTTTAAAGACCTTGTTGATGAAATTGTGGATGAGTTTCCTTGCGGGTATGGTGATGTAGTGAAGCTGTTCTATTTCTGTGCTGATAGCAAGTCCAACATACAAATTCATTCAAACCAAGACTTAATGCATATGTTCACGAAACATGTGAGCTCCAAGTGTTGTTGCATGTCAATTGCATATCATAAACCTGATGCTGATCCACCAGAAATTTCACTATGGGACAATGTTGACATCCCATGCACCCCATCAATGTCAACCCCTGGCTATGTAGAACCTAGCAAAGGAACTCAAACTGTGACTGCTACAGAACTAGATAATGACATGGTACAGGCTGATGATAATTATCTTATGAATCATGAACCAAAGAATGAACATGTGGAGGTTAATGAGGAGGGTTTATATATTGACATAGCACATGTTTCTCATGCAAATGTTAACACAACTGAGAAAAAGGATGAAGATTATGATCTAGGTTAACTCTAAATCTGATTCTATGTCTGACTTCGATATGGATGCTGAGGTAGATGAGATTGTTAAGGATAGAGTGCCATCTCACATCCTTGATGTTGCATACAACAAAGATGACCCTCCTATGGAAGAAGGAAGCATCTATCCAAACATGCATGAATTTAAGTTAGCTCTTGCAACACATGCTATCAAGAATGAATTTGAGTATAACATTGAAAAGAGCGAACCAGAGAGGTATGGACATCATTGATACACTTGTAAGGATTGGTGACCCAACGGACATACAGTAATGCTTGCTGAAAGGTAACATAGAACCTAAACTTTATAATTATTTTTACATGTTTACATTGTTGCTAACATATCTGTCCATGTAGAGGTCCACCTAAAAAGAAGAAAAAGAAGATAGCATGAGCTACTATTGAGACCAGCATTGTGCCTGCAGCACCTGCACAAAGGATGGTCTTTCCAGTTCTACCTATTGTTGCGGATTTATCAAAGAAAAGGAAGAACAAATCATCCTCATCAACTGTTGCGAAGAAACAAAAGAGTACTTCTAATACTTCAACTGCTGAGGCTAGTGACCCTTATGTGAGGTAAGCTAATTTCCTATAATTGTCTTTTCACCACTTTAATAGGTTAACTTACTATTTTTACTCACGTCTCCTTTTTTAGAGGATCAAGAAACAGGATCGAATCATCTAGATCATTTGGTGATTACTTACCCTTCAGGATCAAGTGAGCAGCACACAGCTGACAAGAGCGCAAGTTAGCAGCAGCACAAGAAGAAGAGGGCCATTACGAAAAAAACTAACTCCAAACAAGGCTAGTCCAGCCATGTCAACCCGCATCAAGGTCCCTAGTTCCCCTTCTAGTCCGGCCATGGGAACTAGAAGCAAGAAAAAACTTGATCTTTGGTGAGTTTGCATCTCTATGGCATACTGCTTTTGTAGTACTTGAGGTTTGCATGACCAAACAATGTTTAATCTAGTAATGATGTTACTGTGACCATCTTTTGTTTCCAAACTGTACTTTGTAATCAAGCTGACTCTGTATGTGGATGATAATTTTAGACCTCTAAAGGGGACCGAGATGCCTAAGAGGGAGGTGAATTAGGCAACTTAAAATTCTAACTCTAAACTATGACATCTTTTTCTAACCTTAGCAAAACATATGCAAAAGATAAATTATCTAAATGTGCAACTACAGTTTTGCTAGTGTGTTGCTATCTCTACCACAAAAGGAGTAATGCAAACAATGTAAATGCGGAAGCTAAAGAGCAAGGTAGAGATACGCAAAGTCCCATCGACGACTCCGGTATTTTTACCAAGGTATCGAGAAGCGCGCAAGCTTCTCTCTAGCCCTCGTTAGAGCCCCTCGCAAGGAATCCCTCGTAAGGGCCAAGCTCCCGATCGGGTAACTCTGTGGATAACCCCGGGCCTTTCCCACGCATAAGTGGCTCTCCGGTGTGCCTTCCGACAAGGCTCTCCCGGACCGCTCCCCGTCGTCTTCACTATCAAGCTTCCGACCAAACCGTCACGGGCCTTGTTCCCTTTGGTACACGGTGACGGCCACACCACAAACACGGTTAGTGTGATCTCGCAAGACTACAAGCCCCTCCGATATAC